CCCATACGAGGCTTGCAAAGGTGCATAGGAAGGTAGCAGTGATGAGGCCTGTCACCCAGCTGACAGTGAATGGAGGTAGTCGAACCCTCATCTGAGTAGCACCAACTACAGATAGACAAAGGCGTTAGTCTCCCCTATATACGCAGTATTTGTGCAATTGCTGCACAGGGTGTAATAGTTGGCGAATAGCCAGGTTATGTGGGTCGACGGTCGAATCCAAGTTGGTGTCGAGAGAAATGCCGGTTGCCTTGCATGGTAATTGCCGTGGCGCAGATCTTTCCAGTGCCGAGATCTCATGAATATAGTGCACAAAATTTCTACGATATTCACTATGTCATTTATTTACATTTACACAAGTCGCTTCGATTGAACCGCTTGACCCCTGAATCCTACTCGATCAGGGATTACTATACAACTGAACTAATATTATACAACTAGAGATGGCTACATTATTAGGTCCCGATGATTTACTATTCGTCATCGACTCCCAATGCCCCCGCAAGGACGTGGTGTTCCACAGTCCCTGTGAGTGCCATAAAGAGTAGGAGTGCGAAGAAAGGGCACTCTTCATTCCCAATTGAAAGAATGTCACTTGATATCATCCTACATCGTCTTCTCCCGTCTACCTCTATGGGGACTACCAGGAAGATTATAAATTGGTTTCCACCATATACTACGGCCCAGCGAGGAGACGAGGTGTTGCAGTGAGAATGTGGGACCATTCCCATCAAGGTCGTGGTCATCGCTGCTATGGTACAATCGGTTATCAGGTGGTAGACGAGAGAAAGGAAGTCGTCCAGACGGATCAAGGACCGTATTCAAGTATAAGACTCGAGTAGTACACAAAGCTGGTGCTTCAAGCAGGCTCCTGTAAGTGTTGACGTCTTTATAGAGTTGTTAAAAGCACATACAATACAAGGTACTTGGCTCAGCAGCGATATCCCCTTGATTATGTCCTCCTGGTTCGTCTGAGATGATAATATATCCCAGAGGTTCGATGTTTAATGTCGTCGCGAGATTTTGGGGAGACATTTGCGCGGTAAGTACCATGAAAAGTAGAAGTGCTGGGAAAGGGCATCTGATATCATCGATATAACCGATGCCAGAAGACATCAAAACACATCGTCTAATGCCACCCACCAGGACAGGCAGCACTAGATATATTACATATGTGTTACCTCCGTATACCAGTGCCCAACGGGGTCCTTCGGGCCAGTTATCCATAAATTGGTAACTCAACTATACCGAACCCAAGTTAGACTCTCTGAGCATCCCAAGATAAACTAGAAGAAATCACCTTTGCGAGGATTGC